TTGCCTAGAAAAAGAAGATATAAAGATTTGTCTTCATGAGAGGAATTTTGTTCCCGGCAAGAGCATCGTGGAAAATATCATAAACTGTATTGAGAAAAGTTACAAGTCCATCTTTGTCTTGTCTCCCAACTTTGTTCAGAGCGAGTGGTGCCATTATGAACTCTACTTCGCCCACCACAACCTCTTCCATGAAGGATCCAATAACTTAATCCTGATCTTGCTGGAACCCATTCCACAGAACAGCATTCCTGGCAAGTATCACAAGCTGAGGGCTCTCATGGCACAGCGGACTTACTTAGAATGGCCCAAGGAGAAGAGCAAACATGGACTTTTTTGGGCTAATATTAGAGCTGCTTTTAATATGAAATTAACACTGATCACTGAAAACAATGACATACCAACTTAATGAAAAAAATCAGAAAATTCAACTTAAGAAACTCTCATTAACTTGGATTCTGATGAACATGGTGGTTTTAAGTTATTTTCGGATGGTGCCTCCAGTTATCTCCATGCATTCACGTAAGACCTAAAAATTAAACCAGGCTGAGGGCTGAGGTGGTGCTCAATTACAGGGAGCTCAGTCTCTTCTGGCTGAACCATTCCATTTCAAATTGAAGCAGTCTCTTCTGAGTAAATGCTCAGTCATTCAAGGACCTTCCTTTTCTCTTCTCCTTTCCCAAATGGATTTTGTGTGAGCAGGAGTTTATGGGACCTCATGGCAGCAAGGAAAGTGTCCACTTCAGAACTGTATGCAATGGTGCTTGGGCTGTTCTGTGGATCCTCACTTGCCTCTGGATGGGTTCTGTCATCCTGCTCAATTTTGGGACTTGGGAAAAAATTAGAGCAGTTATAGAAAATAAAGACTTTTTTTTTTCACAGCTGAGTAATCGTTTATGACATGTTTGACCTTGCTACACAAATATGTAATTAACCAGTGGGGATTCATGGCATAATAGTTTATATATATAATGGGAAAGATAACCTTAGTCATAGGCTGTTGAGGCCAAAGACATGATTTACCTGCTTGCCGAGGAAACTCAGAGCCAAATTTATTTGTAACTGGTTATGAAATAGGAGTTTTCTGGTTGTGTTAGAATTTTGGCGAATGCCTCAAAGCTGCCAAAAGGTAGTAAATACCACCACATTTTAAACTGAGATACTAGGCACAGCCAGGCTGGACTTACTGAAAAATAGCAGAAAGAAGCCAGTATCTCTCAGCTCATATTACCCATCTCCAGAAGGCTGGATTCAAAAGGGTGACTAGAGAGTCTTTAAGGGGAGGTTCTAGACCTATGGGGAGAATGCTTTGGATTTCCTTCAAAGCCTAAGAAGAGGGACTCTAGGCTTAGAAGAGTAGCCTGTCATCCCACTCCCAGCCTGGAAGCTTGCAGAGTAACGGGAACGCTCAGGTCCAGTGCAGCAGACAGTGTTTGGTGTGAGAGCTCTCAGAAGAGCTGGATGACCGTCCCCTAGAGTTTTGAGAGTGAGGTGGGTATTGTGAACATAGAGATCAGTAAATAATGCTTTGCAAATACAGGTGCTTGGTAAATATTTGTTGAATGAATGGACAAAGTGCTTCCCATCTGGGGAATTCAGAAGGTGAGAGGTTGGCTTGGACGGCCCAAAGTGACAGGACACCCTGCTTAAGACCTTCTAATGACCTCCCCTTGCAGTTAGTTAGAAGAAAAGTCGAGCCCCTATCATGACCTGGTGTCACGGTGAGGGTGAGAATGGGAGTCGAGGAGACGGGGTGGGGTTGCCTGCCGCATGACGGTTATCGAGAAGAGTGGTGCATCGGTCCGACAGGGCTGCCAGAACAAAGCACCACAGGCTGGGCGGCTTGGACAACAGGAATGTATTCCTCACAGTTCTGACGTTCTGGAAGTCTGAAAAAGGGAGAGATTGGCAAAAAGAAGGGGTTGGATGGGTATGAGAGCAGGGGAAAGACAGTGACTCCATGACTGGACTCAGGAATATGGAGAGAATGAATGCTAATGAGAGTAAGAATGCAAAACACAATACTGGGAAAGGAGGAGGTCAATTTCTGTCTTGGTTTCTGGAGATTGGTTTGATTAGAAAGGAATGAGAATACATTTCAGGCAGTGAAAGGGATCTGAAGGGATTTTTAAAGCCGAAGGACCTTTCTGGGGGTTTTTAATTACAGTTTATAAGGAATCTCAACAGAGTCAAGTCTAAATATGAACTGGATTCTAAAATTCTCCCCTTCTCCCACCCCTTAGTGATATTGTGAGCAGATTTCAGATCTCTTTGGTCCTTTTGAGGTATTAGTAATGGAATCTAGCTTAAAAATCTTCAATCTCCAATTCCATCTAAAGCTCCTCTCTGTTCCCCACGTATAAGCTAGGCTTACAGCTCAGTCTTCGGGTGTGTACAGTGAGGAGGGCGTGGTCTACCTGAGATGCATGCTTCCTGCTCCGCCCTCTCCCAGGTCTAGCTTTCTGATGTGGAGACCAGGAATGAGGGGCAGGAAGGCAGATGTTTGATTCTGTGACTGTGTCTATTAAGGTACGGGCTGAACTGCAGGACAGGGAGACCCCAAACATAGAGCTCAAATAACATAGAAATTTTTTCTTTCTTAAATAATTGGTCAAATATAGTTAGGAAGTCCAGGATAGGTAGCTGACTCTACTCCACAAAGTCATTCAAGGGCTCAGGCTGGCCAGTTAGCTCTGTTCCACATACTCTTGTCTTCTCTGGCCTCCATTCTCCTTTATATGGAATCACAAGAATGAATGAAGTCCTCCCTGTGCCTTCTCTGAGTCTGAGGACCAAGGCAAGCTGAGGTGGAGGCACACCGCCATTCCCAGGGATATGCCACCACAGTCTCTGATTGCTTGTTGGCAAGGTTTACTCCAACAGAAATCTCCAGGAGAGTAGATACCAGTCCCTCTGTTTCCTTACACACCTGAACTCCCCAGGGCATGGGTAATGTCCTCTAAGGCTGCTCAGAAAGGGAATATCCTTGGCAGGATGTTCAGGGGTGTCCTGCACATTTGTGCATCAAAGCAACCATCCACCTGAAGAGAGAGAGAACTAGTCTTCCTGTCCAGTCTCCATGAGTGATTCTACCAGCAAACCCATTGCCGTTGGCTTGGGAAGGAGAGGATGCCACCTCTCCCACAGGAGAAAAGGATGCAGCGTTATATCATAAACACCATTATCTCAGTGCTGCTGATGCTCTCTGCCCTCCCCTGAGTTCTTGTGTATCTGGGAAATGTGAGGATGGGGTGATGGTGAGGAGGCACTATTTGGTTCAACTGCTTTTTAGAATGCCCTGACGGGAGGGCTTAGCCCCATCTGTTGGCAGCTCTCTTTAGAATGTGGAGTAAATAACACTTCCTAGTCTTTGGTTTTGGACCCAAGTCAGGAAAAGTTCCAGTCAGCACCCTATTCCATAATCCGTAGAATCAACAGATGGAAAGGGAAACTAAAATTGTTGGTGGGCTCTGGAATTACATGGCAGATTAACAGCCTAAAAATCTGTCCTATATTTGGATTAAACAATCATAAAAATAGACATAGCATTCATAGTAATAGAAGAAAAGGCAGAGAATAATGGTATGGATATACATCCATTGGTTCAGAAAGTCTACTTCATGGCATATATCCTAAGGAAATAATTGTTCATATACATCCTAAGGAAATGTATGAACAAGCTGCTTACTGCAGAGTTGTTTATAATAATAATACAATGTTTGGAAACAACTTCAACACCCAACAATAGCCAATTGGTTGAATACATTGTTAATTAAAATATTTTAAAAATATGTTATAAGTAAAATGGAACATTATTCAGCCAATAATAACAAAGTTGTAGGTGGATATTTACTGATATGAAAAGATATTTATGATGTAGTATAGACGAATAAAAACAGATTACAAAACAGAATACATGGTCCAATGTCACCTGAGGGGTGTGTGTGTAAATTGTGCAAACTTTCTGAACAGCAATTTGGTAGCAGGAGTCAAGAGCCTAAAGCATGTTCACGTACATAGAAAAGAGTCTGTATAGTTGCTATGAAAATGATATTGGTGTGTCTCTATAGGATAAGACTATTATTGATTTGAAATTTTTGTTTTTATTTATTTATATTTCCTGATTTTTTCCTTCAGTAAACATTACTTGGATAATAAAAAATTGAAATGACTAAAAAATTATCTTTGAGAAGAACACATACACACATATTTATTTGACCTTGTTATGAAGAAGATCTTTCTAAACCTAAACACAAAATGTGGCAGTGGTCTGCTGGAGCTAGTTTGTATAGGCTTGTGAAAACCATTAGTTAAACATTCAGGAATTTTGCAAGCAGGTCAGTTGATAGCTAGAAATGAATTACAGTGGAAGTACTTACGCTGCAGATATTGTCAGGTGCTACAAATGAGGCTTTTTGGTTTTTTTGTAACTTGGTTTACCAGCACACAACTAAATGACAGGAATAGCAAAGAGAAAAGCAACTTACTTGTTTATATAAAAAGGTACAAGAAGATCATGAAATAAAGACTTAAACAATGAGCAAAGAAGTTTCCATAAAGTCTGCCAGAGGATTAGTAACATAAAAAAGAACATATAATTAAATAGTAAAAACATAATACTGATATAGAAATAGGTAAATGACATGAACAAGTAATTCACAAAAGTGGTAGAAATTGTCAACAAACATGAAAAATCATCCAAGGCATTTATTCATTTCTTTCAGGAATTATTCTAAGGTGACAGTGAAAAAACACTCGGAACAAGATTGTGTACAAAGGTGCTTGTTGATGTTTTGTAAAACTGAAAGAGGGACCCTCCCTTCAGGTCAGTAGCTGGAGATGAGGCTGGCCTTTGCCTAAGATTTACTCAGGTGGCAATTTAAAAAATTTGCTGGGAAGTTTTAAGTAGTTAGGGAGAATTAATTAAAAGCTAAATGTCTAAGTGATGCCATTTTTCAGTCCCAGCCAGCTTCATAGGGCACAGTTTGAGGTCTGGGGTCAGTTGGAGAGAGGAATTGTGCCTTTTGCTGGGGGAGGAGGGAGGGAGGGAAGAAATGGAACACAACCATGAGTACAGCTGACCCTTGAACAATACGAATTTGAACTGCACTGGTCCACTTACACAGATTTTTTCAATACATAGCACTACACTGTTCTCGGCTGAATCCATGGTTGGGGAACCACAGATTGTAGGGCCCACTGTAAAGTTATATATGGGTTAGGTGCCCCTAACACCTGCTTTGTTCAATGGTTACCTGTACTAACCCTGCTGTGAGAGGCACCTCCAAACCAGGGCACTGTGGTCAGAGCATTTTTTTTCTTCCCTGTTGACTAAGAAACTGTACTCTCTACCTCTTCCTGATGAAAAACACTCAGCACACTAGGAATAGATGGGAACTTCCACAGCATGATAAAAAAGCATAGATGAAAAACTCACAGCTAACATCATACTTAATGGTGAAATACTCAAAGTTGTGTCCCAAATTCGGAACCAGACAAGGATGTTTGCTCTCACCACTCCTGTTCCACGTTGTACTGGGAGTGCTGGCCCCGGCAATCAGGCAAGAACGTGTTACAAAATCATCCATATCAGGAAAGAAGAAGATGACATTTTGCAGATAACATGATCTTGTTTGTAGAAAACACTAAAAAACTGTTAGGCAATCTACAGATTTAGTGTGATCCCTATCAAATTACCCAGGACATTTTTCACAGAACTAGAACAAATAATCCTAAAATTCATATGGAATCACAAAAGACTCAGAATTGCCAAAGCAATCCTGAAGAAAAAGAATGAAGCTGGAGGAATAACCCTCCCAGACATCAGTCAATTCTACAGAGCCACAGTAATCAAAACAGCATAATATTGGTACAA